TGCTTTCTTCGCATTCTTCACAAGCTACAGAAGAAGAAACAATTGCCAGCATTGATAGTCTTGTTCGTCAGTTTTGGGAAGTTGAGAATTATTCAACTACGCAAACCAAGCGTAACAAGGAAGAGCTTGATTGCGAGATGCATTACAAGGGAAACTTCTCAAGGCTTAAATCGGGCGAATATTCGGTGCGTTTGCCTATCAAACTTAGTCTGAATTTTTTGGGAGACTCATATCTACAGGCGTTTTGTCTGATCGACAACATAGAATGGAAATTCATCCCTCCGCGCTCTCCGCACTTTGGTGGATTGTGGGAGGCGGCTGTGAAGACGGCGAAATACCATTTCTACCGCACCGTTGGATTTTCTCAACTTAGTTTTGATGCATTGCGCACTCTTGTATGCGCAAACTCGGCCATGATTAATTTCAGACCGTTGTTTCCAATTTCAGAAGATCCTGCAGACTTGGATGCTCTAACACCTGCGCACTTCCTAGTTGGTGGCCCGATCTGTTCATTCTTGGAGCCAGACGTCTTGCAGCTGAATTTTAATCGACTCGACAATTGGCAGCGTGTGTCGTGGCTGCAGCAGACTTTCTGGAAGCGATGGAGCAGCGAGTATCTAACCCTGCTTCAACAACGCGCTAAGTGGCGCACTCCGCAACCAGCCCTCCTTGTCAACGATGTCGTCCTCGTCAAAGAAGAGAACTTGCCACCGCTGAAATGGGCGCTGGCAAGAATACTGGAGCTGGTCCCTGGAAAAGATGGCATAGCCCGAGTTGCCGTCTTGAAGACAGCGGCTGGGGTGACCAAGCGGGCAGTAACCAAGCTATGCCTGCTACCTATTCGAGATGATGTTGAAAGCCCCTGCCTTCCAACGGGGGGAGAATGTTTGGTCCAGCAGTCAACGCATCATAAATCATAAAATTGTAACTTAAAGTTTGAGTAGCATTGCTCTGCGCAGCATGAGTGTTTTTTAACGTAGTTATTACACCACACTTGTTTGTTTGTACGCACTCAGCTACTTTCGTTTGTTCTTTCTTTTGCTCATTTGCCTTCTGCACAACTTTAATTATGCTGCTGCAGTTTGTGTACAGTCAGTTGATATTTCGTCTTCAAAGAAGCAAGTTGCTATTTCGTCGTTGTGGAAGTCAGCTGTCGTTGCTACTTCACCTATTTCTTTGAACATTATCGAACTCGGCAGCGCGTGCCAATACTGTTTTCGTTTTCGTATATATTGTGTCTGCTTCGAGCGCACGGCCATCGAAGGGCCGCTTGCATCGCACACAATATAAAACATTTAACAAACGCGCCTGAAACCGCATTTGAATTTTGAACATTTCGTGTTATTATTTTCGAAGGAACTAAATACCTGCAGAAAAAGCTCTGTAGGTCAACACCCTTATAATTATTCCCCTTTTTTGCACATAATCTATCTTAAAACGTTGCGTTATCTCTATATATAAAACAGTTTGTCCTGACTAATTGGTGATCAATGCACGGCCAAACGGTAAAAGATGAAATTCTGACTCAAGTATCCTTTCATAGTATCCATCATAGTGTAGGAGCACACTAAGAAAGGCTTTTGGAAAATTCAAGCTCCAAAGGGGGGAAAACGAGCTTTCAAAAATATTAGTTATAGCGGTCATGTTCGTTTAACGAAATAGTTTGGCAAGAACAAAAATGTAACGGACTACTGAACAATTTTTTGTGAAGAACAGAAAATGTTCATTTGTATGTACATATGTATGTACATATCAGCGTTTCCGAACGCTCCAATTTTGGCGGGACGTCCCGATTTATAAATCAAAATTAAATGTCCCGCGTCGGACTTTTCGGGGATAACTCGACCGTACGTAAAACTTGCTGATGAAGCACACAGTTAATTCAGGACTGGCATGCGCCAGGTGCGTAACGAAGATATGTGCATATGTATGTATGTACGTATAACCATACATATTACTTATTGTACTATATTTGCTATTTGGAAAATGAACTCTTTAAAAAACTTTAGAGAGCGTCGAAAGAAGAATATCATATAGTAAATAAACTTTTAATTATAAGCACATTTTACTTAGCCCAGCAAAGGCGGGTAAGACCTGCTAGTAACTTAATATAACAATTTAAACTCAACTTAAAAGATAAGAAAGCCTAACACAAAGCTGCATAATGACGTCTATTAGTGCCTCCGACACGTTGGGGGAATTTTATTTGCCAATTGGCCAGCTATTCCTCGATTCACACCCATATGTGGTCAAAGACATTATGGACTTAAAAAACTATACAAAAAGTAAGTAGCGGAGGAAAATTAATTCTATTTAAGAATTAATTCAAAAAAGTAAGAAGTAGAAAAAGAAAGACGAAAAGAGAAAAAGAAAGATGGAAAGAGAGATAGAGAAATAGGGAAAGAGAAAGGTGGAAAGGGAGAGTCGAAAAGAGAAAGAGGGAAGTCTCCAACCCGGTTGGGGGAAAATTTTAATGCCAGTCCGGCGAGCTATGCCCAAACTCGCAGCAGTAAGTGGTCAGAAGTTTCCCCAAAGATAATTATAAAGAATAGTTTTGATAGAACAGAGAGAGAGAGAGTCCTGTCGAAAGTAAATGTGAAAGATCATTATAATGGGGTAATCAGTTGTGCATCTTGCCAATATGAACGGCAAATAAGGCGACCTAATAAGATGACCAAAGAGGGCAGAGGAGTCAACCTCACCGATAACCAACTTGTGGAGAAAAGCTGCTTACTAAGGAAGGAAGGTTTATAAGCATTAGTCTACTAGAGTACGATGGCAAGCAGAGATTGGGATCCCAGCTTAAACCACGTAGAGAAAAAAGAAGGAATTGCTTCTGAACCAACTCAATACTTTCCTGATGCTTTCTATACTGCGGAGACCAAACGCATGAGAAGTATTCAAGCACAGGGCGTACTAGAGCAGTGTAAAGAAGCTTGGTGGTATAAGGGTCATTAAATTCCTTGGACCAACGTTTAATGAATTTGTAATGGGATATGTACATAACTTCGTTACGCACCGGGCGGACTGCCAATCCTGACTTAACTGTGTGCTTTCTCAGCATGTTGTACGCACGGTCGAGTTATCCCCGAAAAGTCCGACGCTGGACATTTAATTTTGAATAATAAATCGGGACGTCCCGCCAAAATTGAAACGTTCGCCAACGCTGATGTGTACATACATTTAAATTTCGTGAATGTAAAAGGTGTGTTTCTGCTTTTGTAAATCGCATGAATAAACTCACAAAATAGGCTTAACGATAAATGACTCTTAGATTTGTTCAGAGTATATTTGTAGTGTTGTTAGCTAACAGTAAAACGGTAAGTCGCTGTAAATATGCGATCAGCTGAGATGCTAGAGATGGGCATGTGTCGGATGCTCTATGTGTTAGAGCATCAAAACTAATTAACAATTAACAGAAAATTTAAATAATAGCATCTTATAATTTATTGAGATCAATTAGAACAAATAAATATACAAACATACATATGTACATCTGCCCGCAACCTGAAGAAGAATATGCGTAGGTCCGCTTTCGGTTTCTGCTTTACTATCGCTTACGCAATCGTTGCCTAGCGATGGTAACTGTAAACTTTTGACATTTTGCCTTTGAAATTAACAGGCGTAAATCAAAACGAAAGAAGAATCGCGAGCCAATGACTTGCAGTTGTTGTTTTTAGTTTTAAAAATTTGATTCAAAACCATAGAACATTATTTATTACAATCAAACAACAGTGCTCGATTGTCCAATGTATACATACATACGAATGTACATACATGCTATATATGTACGTACACAGGCATACATACATACATATGTGTGTATATATGCATGCATGTTTCTCTTTACTTTTTCATACATAATAACCAACTGGGGGTATTTGCAAAATTTTAGTTCGAAATAAAAATAGATCGACTCGTCTTGTCATGCTGATCAAGAATATATATACTTTGTGGGGTCTCCCACGCATCCTTCTGCCTATTACATTTTCAGCTCCCGCAAACCTAATATACTCTTGTACATTTTATGTACAGAGTATAAAAAGAGGGAAATCTACAACCCGGTGGGGAAAATTAAAAATGCCAGTCCGGCAAGCTATGCCCCAACTCACAGCAGTAAGTGGTCAGAGATTTCCCCGAAGATAATTATAAAGAATAATTTTGATAGAACAGAGAGAGAGAGAGTCCTGTCGAAAGTAAATGTGAAAGATCATTATAATGGCTGCACATGACCCGAAAATGATTGTGCGATGCGTAATCAGTTGTGCATCTTGACAATATGAACGGCAAATTATTACTTGTTGGTCTACAAGGATATACTGTTGTTGTCGTTTTAAATTTCATCTTGATCGGTCAATTCTAAGAAAACGTGTACCCTGTACCTGTAGAGTAAAAAGGGTATATTAGGATGACGAGAGACATCGATCTGGACATGGCCGTCAGTCCGTTTGGATGAACGCCTGGATTTCAGAAACGAAAACCAAACTTTGAACACATCACTTATAAATAATAATCTAATTTTTTTTTAATTTCATCAAAATCGGTTAATTCTAAGAAAAGTTTTAAGCGAAACAATTTCATTCCGGTACTACACCCACAAGCTGCAGCATCAAGTTCGCTCTTCTTCTTCCTTTTGATTCTGTTAGAGGCGCATATACCTCAGTGTCGGAAGTTTACCTGGGTACTGGGTACCTGACTGTAGCATTCTCTCTTGTTAGGCCGAGTTTTTGTTAGCGTACCTGCTGCTCTTGTTCCCTATGCTCATTTCTGAGCTCTTGTTCACTTTTGTGAACAGATGCTGTAACGGAGAATGTCCAGAATTTTGTGCTTCAATTTTAAAAGATTCTTATTACTTCAGAAACTTTCGTTAGTTTTCAGGAAACACAACTGTGTTACACAAATTAAAACACAAAACATATTTTTACCTTTTTTGGATGTACATATAAAATTTTCCACATTTTTCTTTTTGCCACAACATGTCTCTACTGCGCGACTGTTCCAAATTGTTTTGTTTTATCAAGCCGATGCGTTCTATAATGGGAGTACGTCACTACGTTCGCTCAGTTAATATGTGTGCCATCTTTGACGTAGACACAGCCCAAGATTTTGAAATGCGTGTGAAGCGCAGCGAAAAGCCCGTTATTGCGGACTTCCATGCCGGGTAAGTGGCGTTAGTTTTCAGGAAACACAACTGTGTTACACAAATTAAAACACAAAACATATGTTTACCTTTTTTGGATGTACATATAAAATTTTCCACATTTTTCTTTTTGCCACAACATGTCTCTACTGCGCGATTGTTCCAAATTGTTTTGTTTTATCAAGCCGATGCGTTCTATAATGGGAGTACGTCACTACGTTCGCTCAGTTAATATGTGTGCCATCTTTGACGTAGACACAGCCCAAGATTTTGAAATGCGTGTGAAGCGCAGCGAGAAGCCCGTTATTGTGGACTTCCATGCCGGGTAAGTGCCCAATTCCGATGATGTTAATCGATTCATTTTTGGTCACTATTTGTTTTAGGTGGTGCGCGCCCTGCAAACTGTTTGGCCAAAGTGGATATCGATGAGCACAGCGAACTGGCCTTGTACTACAAAGTAGGTGCGGTTCCATCCAACTACAGATGCCATCCGCGATTGGATTAACCAAGCTGTGAAGAGTCGGAAGAAGGTAAGGCGCGTGGAGGAAGACGACGATGAGGACACTGAGTACTCGTAGATTGGCTGACATTTCTACCACATTTGACTATGAAAATCATGTTGGAAAAAGATCAATGGGTTGAAAATACACTAGAAAACGCGTATATTTATCATTAAATTGTAAAGAAGTTATTTTTCCAGCTGAGGTAATGCTCAGCTGTCCAGGATCCCTTACAAGAAAATCTGTAAGTTGCGGGACCTTGCGACCAAAAGGGCTCGATGCACGCTGTAGGGGACTATTGGCAGCGACACGTAGAATTTGCGTTCACTGGTTGATGCCCGATGAACGAAAGTTCGACGCATCTACCAAACTGCCGCCGTCTTGCAATTGTGGTTAACGACACTGCAATTACAAGACGTCACCAATCTGGCTCTGCCGATTTCGTGGTTTATAACACCTTAGCGTTATATCTGCCTGTTAATGGCCTTAATGGGAATGGGGGACTTACATGGATTTTATTTGATCGTGTAAGGCTTTGCGGCTGATACTCACACGTCTATTCGCTGCTGTGGTCACTGGAGAAGAGAGCGAGCTTACATTTTTGCTCGCCCTTCTAACCTCGTTTTTCTTGCATTTTTCTTGCAATATACTAATTATAACTAAATATTTAACTTCATGTGTTCCTGTTTAGTCTTAGCGTAATATAACAATGTGCAATATTAGAATAATAAGAAAATAACAAAATATGGAGTCTTAGATCTATAAATATTCAATGAAAACTTAAGGCTAGTAAAACAATGTGCAATATTCAAGTGTGCAATAGAAACTTAGGTTAGTAATACAATGTGCAATATTCATCTGTGCATTATAATAGAAACTTAGGCCAGTAACAATGATTAGATGAGGTTGTTGCTAATAGAACACAAAAGCTGGTCGTGGCCTTTGTTGAAAGATCGTGGACAAATGAAAAAGTAAACAAAAACAAACAGTAATACGGAGCATACAGAAATTTCTACACAAATATGTGTGATTAAGTCTAAACTTTGGTTTATGTGTTTGTGTTCCCAGAATAACAAATTTGATATGTGAATTATGCCAATGACTGCAAAGTAATAGAAACACTGGCAATTGTAATGGTCTGCTGTGTAATGGTCTTGTGGATTTAATTTACATCACAATGTTTGCATATGCTGTTTTGCATATGCTGTTTTTCTATCAAAAACATACTATCGGAATTTCTTCTTCATACAGACAAATGCTGCGACACGCAGGGCGTCATTACATGCGGGATGGCTGTAGACCCATAAGGCGTGCATGTAGTTGTTGTTGATATGTACTGAATTCTATAGTACTGTAAGTAAGAAACGTGGTTTGGGTTTAGTTTTAGGTTAGTCGGAGTCTGGAGGCGTTCAGGAGTGGACGTTTAATGTCAGGCCTTGTTTGTTAATTAAAACATGTATATATGAAAATCGCAACCGCGGCTTTCACTATTTGCACTTTGGAGTGTCCATAAGTATATTAGGTTTGCGCGAGCTGAAAAATGTTACGGGCAGAAGAAGGCGTGACAGACCTCACAAAGTAAATATAGACTTGATCAGCATGACAAGACGAGTCGATCTACTTCTATCTGGCTGTCTGTCTGTCTGTCCGTCCGTCCGACCGTGCGTAAGAACACCTGGATCTCAAAGGCTATAAGAGCTAGAGACACCAAATTTTGTACAAATGTGCCTTATGTGAGTACGCTGTAAAAGTTAGTTTTATTTTTTTGATAAGAAAGTTACCATACTGTGGTCCGTTTCCTTTCGAATATCTTCAGTGAATTTAATTTATGATTTACCACAATGTCTATCATTTCTAAAGCCCGATTGTTTGTAGCTCAAGAGTGATTTTTCCAACATTTATTAATTTGTTTCGACATCAGGTGTTCAAGTGCTTTCGTAAGAAATGGTAGAATTGAGATTGGCCTAAAGCCATTGCATATAACATACACCCTTATTGGTGATATGAGTTACTAAAAAATAATAAAATCATAAACATAGTTTGAATATTAGTATATTATTGATTTTTTTTTTGTTCATCATTAGTTAGAGCTTCCCTATATATGATATTTGATGTAATATTATTTTATGGCAGCAAAATAAATTGATTTTCAGGATCATCAACCCGCGATAAGCCAACATAGAGTTGGCCATGAGTAAAAAATACCTTTCGTAGGTCGATTCCAACAAATTCGAACGTTTGGCTTTGAGACTTGTTAATAGTTAACGCGAAAGATGTTTTTGCCGGAAATTGAAGCAGTTTCAATGTGATTGTCAGTTGGGATCATCGGTATCCTCGGTATATGAGCCAGTTGACCAGCTTCTGGACCGATGATAATGGTCGCTACAATTAAATTGTCCTTCCTAAATAAGCAGCCTCATCCCATTGCACATAATCGCATGGTTTTAATTTTTCAATAGCATTGTTGGAATTCTTATTTTGAACTTAAATTCATGTGGCTGCAGTCCAGAAGGGCTTAGTGAAATTAATAATTCCTATGGGTAAATATTGTGTCCTCGATATAAGTCACGGTGTTCAACGATTTGGGATTACGAATTCTAGCCGTTGAATTCTGTTTCGTTTCTCTTTAGCGCGAGCTTGTAAACTCCTAATATTTTGATCTTCAAGTATCTACAAACGTTCCATACTCTAGGTTCTTAAATTTTGTTCAGCAAGCGCTGCGAGTCGATAATCGACACTCTTGAACGCGATTGCGATTCTCTCTGGCTTGCAAGAAGATAATCTTTTTGTAGAAGATTCTCCATTATGACATCTTTTTGAATCCCTCGCCTGAGAACTATTTCGAGAAAGTTGCGATCATTTTCCTTTGGGCATTTAGGCATGATGAAAAAATAAACTGACGATTTAAGGCCATTAATAGAATTCACTGTTTCTGGTAGGCCTTTATACCAATTCAAAGTGATGCCATATGGCCTTTGCAATGCGCCGTCTGCAATGTGTCGTCTAATGGATGATATCATTCCCCCTGATCTTCTCCATTGTGTTTTTTGGTTACTTAGATAACGTTTGTATTATTTCTGAAGACTTTTCTTCCCAGCTTTCAGTGTTGCTTCGTCTTGCAGAACAATTGCGTAATGCAAATTTAACACTAAATATTGAAAAAAGTCAATTTTGTGTGAATATTGTTAAATACTTAGGTTACGTTATTGGCAGCGGTGGCATTGAGTGTATTTTAAATTGGCCACCACTTCGAAATAACAAGCAAATTATGCAGACTTGACATGCCCCATCACTGAAATGTTGTCAAATAAGAAGTTTGTCATGAAATACGTGAAAACCATTTTGACTTTACGGCTCCTGTGTTGCAAAATCTAGATTTCGGCAAGAATTTTTATCTTCACTGTGATGCTAGTAACTTCGGAATAGGCGCTGTGCAACTGCATTTATGTCAAAAAAATCAAAAAAAGTCGTACACAACGCAATTATAGCGTTACAGAACGAGAATGTCTAGCTGTTATTTTATCCATTGAAAAGTTTAGGTGCACTGCCTGGAATGTGTGATGATGCATTAGCAGAATTAACAGTAGTTCCTATAATTGAATTGGAATCTAAGGCATTATTTATCAGATTATAAGAAATTGAAAGAAAAGTTCACTCTGCAACAATCCAAATTTCCTGACGTTAAAATTGTAAGGACAAGTTTATTTTGTCAATAATATCTACATTTCGAAAGCTAAATTAACCACGCATAATCTATATAAAATTATATTGTTGTTTTAAATTTCATCTTCATCGGTCAATTCTAAGAAAACGTATACCCTGTACCTGTAGAGTAAAAAGGGTATATTAGGATGATGAGAGACTTCGATCTGGACATGTCCGTCAGTCCGTCTGTATGAACGGTACTACACCCACAAGCTGCAGCATCAAGTTCGCTCTTCTTCCTTTTGCTTCTGCTAGAGGCGCATATACCTCAGTGTCGGAAGTTTACCTGGGTACTGGGTACTTGACTGTACTGTACTGCATTCTCTCTTGTTAGGCCGAGTTTTTGTAAGCCTACCTGCTGCTCTTGTACCCTATGCTCATTTCTGAGCTCTTGTTCACTTTTGTGAACAGATGCTGTAACAACTGTGTTACACAAATTAAAACACAAAACATATTTTTACCTTTTTTGGATGTACATACAAAATTTTCCACATTTTTCTTTTTGCAACAACATGTCTCTACTGCGCGATTGTTCCAAATTGTTTTGTTTTATCAAGCCGATGCGTTCTATAATGGGAGTACGTCACTACGTTCGCTCAGTTAATATGTGTGCCATCTTTGACGTAGACACAGCCCAAGATTTTGAAATGCGTGTGAAGCGCAGCGAGAAGCCCGTTATTGTGGACTTCCATGCCGGGTAAGTGCCCAATTCCGATGATGTTAATCGATTCATTTTTGGTCACTATTTGTTTTAGGTGGTGCGCGCCCTGCAAACTGTTTGGCCAAAGTGGATATCGATGAGCACAGCGAACTGGCCTTGTACTACAAAGTAGGTGCGGTTCCATCCCTGCTGGTCATGCAAAATGGAAAGGTGCTTAACCGCATGGAGGGTCTGCAGACTACAGATGCCATCCGCGATTGGATTAACCAAGCTGTGAAGAGTCGGAAGAAGATAAGGCGCGTGGAGGAAGACGACGATGAGGACACTGAGTACTCGTAGATTGGCTGACATTTCTACCACATTTGACTATGAAAATCATGTTGGAAAAATATCAATGGGTTGAAAATACACTAGAAAACGCGTATATTTATCATTAAATTGTAAAGAAGTTATTTTTCCAGCTGAGGTAATGCTCAGCTGTCCAGGATCCCTTACAAGAACATTTGTAAGTTGCGAGACCTTGCGACCAAAAGGGCTCGATGCACGCTGTAGGGGACTATTGGCAGCGACACGTAGAATTTGCGTTCACTGGTTGATGCCCGATGAACGAAAGTTCGACGCATCTACCAAACTGCCGCCGTCTTGCAATTGTGGTTAACGACACTGCAATTACAAGACGTCACCAATCTGGCTCTGCCGATTTCGTGGTTTATAACACCTTAGCGTTATATCTGCCTGTTAATGGCCTTAATGGAAATGGGGGACTTACATGGATTTTATTTGATCGTGTAAGGCTTTGCGGCTGATACTC